AGTTCTCTAGATACAGTTGAGAATCTTGGTTAAAAGATTCAAAGTTAAGAGTATTATTCAAAGCAAATGGTTAGTCTCATGTCTATGGAAAACAGAAGATTTTCTATTACTTACTAATAGCAGTAGTAGAAGGTAATAAGGCTTAAGTATTCCAGAAATTAAGACATCAGATAAAGAAGTATTTTGATAGCTAATGTATAAAAATGAAGTGCTGTTATTTTTAATTACTAAATTTTTCCGACTGTTAAGATAATTTCTTTTGCTTGATTAAAAAAAACAACTTTGTTGAAACAAACATGACAATTAACTTCTGCTAGCTAGAAAATAATTTCAATTGAAATAATTTTAGGTTTTGTAATGTCAACAAAGAAGTAGGAGATATTGCCTGTCTTATTGTTCCATATTCATGGAAGAGTGGTAGAGCTGAATATTAATAGGACTTGAGTAACACATTTTCCTTGTGGCCTTTTCGTATGCGCTGTAGCACTGAAAATTCACTGGTCTATCTCCATATGTTTGTGCATATGTGTATGTAATGTCTGAAGGGACATCCCGTTTACACTACCTCTCTGTGAGTCTGAAATCTTTATGAATAGCAGTGTCTACTTCTACCCTGCGTGCCCGCTAGTGCTTTGTTAATCAAGAGACAAGGGGCCAGAATGACTGCAATTTTTGCCAAGTTTCTAGGTACTAGCAGCTGTAAAATAGAGCTGAACCGTTTGTTTGGCTTTTAACTGAAAGAAGGTAGATATAGGCCCAAGTTGGACAAGATTGTCCATTCTTTTCTTGAAAGCTAGAGCATTGCGGAGCATACTTTATGTTAAGGAATTCTTACACCTTTTCTGGAGACAGCAAATGAAAGAGGAGGTAGCCCTGGTAAAATCTTTAGCTTCTAGCAAAAGGTATCAGCCTTACTGAAATAGAACAGATTCTGCTATGTAGCAAGAGCTGGAGTGGGTCCTGCTGAGCTTAGATGATGAAGGTCTCTAGATGACGTTGTTCCCTCCTTACCAGTGCAACACACGATGATCAAGCATTTGGCATTAAAGGAAAATTCTAGTAATGGTAGAAACAACATGGTTTTGGAATTCTTGTTCACTTCCGTTCCCAGTGGACTGGCGACTCCAGCAAGTGTGGACTACTTTAAAGCACCCAGGAAAATTGTGACATACCTTAGATACTATAATAGTCAGCCTGAAGGACTGAGATAGGCACAGTCAAATGACATAGAAAAGGTTTCAGTACATTTCCACTCATCTGTTTTCTGGCTCCCTTGTAATAAGTGAAGCAACAGGACAGCCCTGCTGTGGTGAGACAAAGGTGTCTTGAGTAAGAATGATTTCCTGAACCTGGTCATGTCATCGTTTACTGACAAGATCTTGTCACGTATGTTCACATGTGTACACATTCATATGTGTGTTGGAGCTTTTCCTCCTTCCTTAAACAGAGAAGGAACTGATTCTGATTGAGTCAGGTTCCTTTTCAACTCTGAATCTGAACAACTTACCAAGTGCCAAATACAGTGATGATAGGATAGATTTCTCGGTTGTGGTTTTTTGATATCTTGAAAGTGTACATTCATCAAGGCCTTGAGAAAGAAAGAACAAGTCTTCAGAACCCTCCCAGGAGTAACTTTCTTCCCCCTTGCACGTTGAACGAAGATCATCTGACCTTCCAATAAAGAAGCTTGAGAGGAAAAAATTAGACGTATTTGGGGCTGATTTCATGTCAGCAAGTGTTTTTCTGAAGTGAAGAGTTTGTTTCTACTGTTTTTTCACCCGCCTGGTTTGCTAACAATATTTTTCAAGAGGCCTGTAAACAAGAATCTTACATCAGTGAGTTCTGGGTACAGAGAACAGGCAGTCTGGTTTCCTTCCTGTCTGATCCTCTTCAGAAGCATCTTTGGCAAGATATTCAAAGTAAGGGAATCAGTTTCCTACATTCATTTTGCATTAAATAGAGTTCAAGTGAAGGGTGTTCAACTCTCATTATTTCTTAAGCCTGAAGAAGAAACTGGATTGGCATTCTCATTCAGCACCTTTGAAGTCCCTCAGTTGGATCAAGTACCTTGAGACTCCCAGCTATTATGACTGAAACTTTCATCAGCTGGAGAGATAAGGACTAGATTTATGGGTTTTTTTTGGGAAGAAATTAGTTTGATAGTCACAGCACACTGGTGGCTGCAGGTGTCACAGGTGGAACTTCTTAAATTCTCCGTTCACTGTTTGTTTTTTCCTGATGGCTTTTGTGCAGTACAGCAGCAGTCATTTTTGCTGATAAGCTTTGATATCAACACGCAATCTGCTATTGCCAGCAGTCTTCAGTTGTAGTCCACCACATTATGGAATTAATGCCACATAATTGAATATATGCCTTAAGCATGTCCTTGGAGCATTTTGGTGGCCTACTTCTCAGCTATTTACCATGTTTTAATCAGACATTAAAAAAAAATATTGTTTTGGATAATCTGGTTTTGGCATACTAACAACATGCCCAGAGCAGCCTAAGTGAGCCTGCAAGACGGTAGCTTCGATGGTGTGTATTTGACAGCATGCTAATCAGTGTTCACGTCTCTGTGTTACACTAGCAAAGAGCCAAAGATGGTACGTGTGGAATTGGAGATATCTGACACAATGCCTATAAGTTGTCCAACTGTTACAGCTACTAAGAATGATGATGACTAAGATATGTGTTGCTTTTGCAAGAATTCTTTCATTTCAGGTGTGCTGCTTTTATGTCCTAAGGCTGCTCTGGCTTTCATGATCTTCCCTGGGACTTTGTCATCGTTAAAGGGGTTCTGAGGCACTCTGCTACTTGGATAGAACAATTTCTCTCCAAACGTCACTGCTGCACTGTCAGTTTTCATTATTGGCCTGACATACTTTTCACCATGGCTGGAATAGGATCTCTCTTTTCTATATACTGATGCTGAGGCCAAATTATTTGGCAGTGCAATCAAAACAGTCAGTAATATGTTGAAGGTTCTCTTGGCTAGAATTCCTCAGCTCCAAAGTAGGCATTGAGGGTTGTTTTAGGCCTGTGCTTGTCAGCAATTTATCCTGCCTAAGCCGCTGACATTTTTGGTGTGCACGCTTAGCATTCTGCAGAGAGATGTCTAGAGACATGCATAAATATCTAAGGTTTTCTGATGCATGTGGACCACGTGCATATACAGCAATCTAGGCACATAAATAAAAATAAGACAACAGAGATATTATCTGCCACTTTCCAGATGCCCAAGTTTCACTTTTACTGTTTGCATCATGCTCTTTCTAGAATTCAGAATGTGGGAGTTCCCACAGACACCTGGAAAGTTGGTCATCCAGGGTAGCAATGAAGTGATGAAGTAAATACAGAAGCAAGAGACTGCAGGAGTGGACAGTGGCATTTTTGCTGGATGTTCTGTTGCTGTTCAGGAGATCCCTGAGTGCATCACTGCTTATAGAATGGAACATTTCTTAATCATTTGCTGGTTTATTTAAGCCTATTCTTGCATCTATAAGTCTGTTAGTTTCTGTAGCAATTTTTGTTTGATCATGCTCCCAACTGATGGGACAAAAGAAGAAGAGAGCATAGGAAGTACATTTTAGGGAGGTCAGGAATACTGATTAAATCTCCCTACTGATTTTTTTAAAAAGTAATTACCACTGATATTTGTGAAGCAAAATGAATAATCCTTCATATTTCAGTTTGGTGTAGCGAGGCAGAGGAAAAAGAGGAATGCTCTGATCGGGTGTGGATTTAAAAGCTCTGAAAGATTCTTCAGCCGTGGATTAAACTTGAGTGGCCAAAGAAAGATGCGAGATTGAAGATGAAAGATCTCTCTGAAAGATGATGGCAGTGACTCTTGGTTCACTTGTGAAATAGCACGTAGATCTTGAACCGCGGCAGGTTCCCTTTAGGTATATTATAGTGTTTTACTTACCTTGGTTAGTAAATTAAATCAGTTGAGAACCTAATTCGCAGTCAGATCAACATCTCTGCTTTGGAGCTGACAACATCTGTCCTTTGCCTGCTGCAGGTACCTGTGGTGTTTGGTATTCGCTGACCACCATGTGCCTGTCAGATCCTGTGGTCTCTCTACATCTCTGTTCCTTGTGTTTGAAGTGGGGTTAATGAAAACTGCCTGCACAGAGATTACGTGAGGAAATGTGTGTGTTTGCGGTATCTTGAGATTTTTACAGTGATGGAAGCAAGAAATGTATGTAGATTTATCCTGGAACAGGCAAAGGCCTTTATTCCTCAAAATCCGCTTTTTCTCTTGGTAATTGTATCAAGAGGAGATGATAAAAATGAGTAGAATTTGTGATGTAATTTTACTGATACAGCCTAAGTATTTTTTGAGAATTAATGCTTTTTATGTTTTCTAGACTAGGTTTTTTAATAGCTTATAAATCAATAATAAAAGTATATTTGATGCGTATTTAATGGCATTAGAGTTGTGTTTGTGCCACTTTCATCTCTACTTCTGAATTGCCTAAAGATGTTGATCTGTATCAGCAATGCAGACTTTAGAGAATAGAATATTTATCCTGTTTTTTTGCTGAACTTTGATTTCTGTGAATTGTTGTTAACTTACGTGTATTTTATTATCCATATCGGCCTAGCAATTAGTAATGGGTACAGTAGCCACCCGTGAAAAGAAAACCAATTTCATTATGACCATTTGGCCTGGTTTCTGACTCTGTATCAAGTAATAGTAACCAGAATTGACTTTGAACAGAACAAACACAGATTTTTAGTAGAACAGAAGCATATAGTTGGTGGGGTTTTTGTTGTGCATTTGTTTATTTGGGGAGGAATCCAGCAAGGTAGAACAATTAAAATAAAAACTGTGTGGATAATGACTGGTGAGGTGAAAAAGTTGAGAAAAGAACATGGTGAATTCTCTCAAAATGTGAAGCTTTTGCTGCTCAGCTATTCTTTGAAATGTTTTAACAAGACGAAGAAGAAAAGCATTTTAACTGATTATCTCACATTTGTTTCATTCTGATTCATAGAAAATTTCACCTTGGGTAGGTTTACGCAAGATCAACATCTCCTACTGGGGATGGGATGACATGTCTCCTTTCACAAATACAACTCTGCAGTGGCTTCCTGGAGAGCCAAATGACTCTGGCTTCTGTGCATACCTAGAAAGAGCAGAGGTGGCAGGTCTGAAAGCGAATCCATGCACTGCAATGGCAGATGGTCTTGTGTGTGAAAAACCTGTCGGTAAGCAATCTCTTATACTTAGTTACTGTTACTGTCATGATTAGCAAGCTGTTTGGGTTTTCATTTGGCTAAGAGCAATTTTTGAACAATTTGGATTAGGTAATTATGAAAAAATGTACTTTTTTATTATTTGAAAAATATGGAGCTCTAACCTGAAAAATAATATTTCTAAAGCAGCAAATATTTATTTGTGAATTAGTTTGCATGGCTTAGTCTGCGTTATATCAGAAGTCTTATAAATTGCTGCTAAGTCAGTAGTAGTCAGTGACAACAGTGGTTGTAGCATGAAAGTGTCTGTGGAGGTCTTCAGCAAGGCTGATATTTTCTTTCTGAATCTTGCTGAACATCAGTGAACATTTTAATGGTCTAGAAGACTGACAAACCCAAATTTCTTGTTTCCATCTTTTAGATTTGTTGCTGTATAAAGGTTACTCTGGCAAATAGTCATTTGACAGTTCAAATCAGCATTTTCATGCTCAGATTGTCCTATGTTTCTCTTCAGAGCTGTGAGGTTGAGCTTAGGAAGTTCTTTAAATTTCCCCTTCAGATTTATTTTGTGCATTGCTTGTGCAAAACTGGAAGATAGCTGTGTTGTTGGTGTGTTGGGAACACTACCTATCAATCTGATGGCTTTTGCTGTGAAATTGTCAGAGATGTTAACTTGCAAAACCAAAGCCTGATTGTACCAATCACTTATTCTCTCATAAGCAACTCCAAATAGTAATGTAATTGCGAAGTGTATATTGTACACTTGTTGCTACTGCCATCTATATTTCCTAAAAGTTTCATCTTTTACAGTGTTCTTAATTTTGAATTAATAGTTAATTATTTACCAGATTTTTCTCAGAATAGTAAAAGATACAGTCCTAATGGAAGAAACATCTCAAAATGTAAAGGATACACTAGCTGGAACACAAATTACATTATTAAGATGCAGATTTTTACAATTAGATCAACATTATATGCATCTGTTACTGGTGTCCTACTTCATTTTTTATTTTGAGGTGCTTCAAAGACTGTAGAAGTCGAAGTATTTCAGCTGTATGAGCCTACTTTTATAGTTCAATTGATTTTTTTTTATTAGTTTTCTCTCGTATTTTTTATTAATTACAAACCACAGTTTGAGTATGTGCATAGTAGATCAAATCCAGGAACACTCTTGGTTAAGTGATTTGACGTACTATATTAGCAGATGAAGCACGGCTTGAGAACTGGGCTGGAATTGAATATGAATCAATAGTTACAGAAACATGAAATACATGGGAGGTCTCAATCCTGATGTTTCGTAAGGCACTTCTGTATGGAAAACATAGTGCTATGTATACTTTTGTGTTCCTACCTAAGAATAACTATACTCTTGTTCTTGTATACTTTACGGGTTTATTTGAAATCAAAGTAAAAATTGAGAGTTAGGGTACATCTGTTCTTTTTGTGTGTTATGACTTTTTGAGGTAACATACACCATTAACCTAGTCAGAATGTGGTCTCTAGTAGAGAAAAACAAACAAACAAATAAAAAAAACAACCCCCCAAAAAACCTGGCCAAACAAAAACCCTCTCAAATCTTTTTTGCATTGACCAGTGTTCCTTTTGTTACTTTCCCTTTGGATTCTAGTGATTTTCATGTGTACAGTGTAAGGCAAAATTTTAGGGGATAAGTAAGTTGCAAGTAGAATATTTGTTGCTTATACACTATTAAACTAACAAGAACGATGGACCCACAACTCTACTGTACTTATTATAGAAGTTTGAGATGTATTTTACGTCATGTATGTGCAAATAACTAAGCTGATATTACCAAGCAATGAATATTAATTTTGTTATTTCAGTATATAGATAAAATTGCTGTGAAAATTTTTAAATGGACTCTTAGGGCTGTAATATGACTCATGCTGAGTATTACTTAATAATTTTTATTAAATATTATTGCATTTATATACTGCAACATAAGTTTGGATTAAATAATTTATAGCTAATTAAGAAAGCAACCACTTTCACTCTAACAAGGATTTTTCTAATGGAACATATGATTGAAGAAAAAGGAGATTGAACTTGTGTTCAAAATTTATAAATGTTTTTGGTTCTTTTCCAGTCAGTCCCAACCAGAATGCCAGACCGTGCAAAAAGCCATGCTCCCTGCGAACAACATGTTCTAACTGCACGAGTAATGGTATGGAATGTATGTGGTGTAGCAGTACAAAACGATGTGTTGACTCAAACGCCTATATAATCTCCTTCCCATATGGACAGTGTCTAGAATGGCAAACTGCAACATGCTCCCGTGAGTATCTTAATGAGCATTCACCCTATTAAACATAGTGTATTTTTTTTTCTGCTCAAAAGAGCATTTATATGGATAGAATTCAGCACATTCACTACAGATAAAAATAATTTCAAATGAATGACCTTATATAGCTACTAATGTGAGCAGTCAATACTGTGTATGTATTTTCTAAATACAGGTAAATGCTGGCAATTCTTTTACGATGAAATATATTTAGTCTTTTAAAACAGTAAAAAGTGTTTATTGTTTTCAGATAAAGAAAAAATACCATGCTTATTTATGTGACCAGTGTTAGTGTGTCAAATAGTGGTCACGATTTGCAACAGAATAGTGTTAAAAATTAGGTAAATAATATGTAGAACTGATACAACATAAGTTACTAAAATAAAGGAGATAAGTTGAATTCAGAGTTGTTAAGCTTATGATTTATTTTGTCAGATTCAAAGAAGTCCATTTTCCTAGCATACAAAGATAAAAGCAATGGTATAATAATGGTAGTAGTAATGGTAGTCTTGAGAATGTCATAACATAAATGCAAAACAAATGGTCTTGGTCTTCCTTAGATTCTTCTCACTTGCAAATGCTGATTATTAACCCTGACAGATTGTTTATCCTCTTGATAGAAGCAGAAGGATTTCTGTTAGGCCATCAAGCAGGTAGAGGAGGTGCAGAAAACTTTTGTCCTGTGTGATCAGACTGGGTCAAGCTGAATTAATGTTCCAGGTTGCTCATTTCATCCTTTTCAGATAAAAGGCAAGTGATTTCTTACTTTGTCAAGCAGCAAAGGTACTCCCTAGATGTCCCCTTTGGAAGCACATTTCATCAGAATTTGATATGATGCCTCTCTAGGAGAGTAACAAACCTACTCAGTGCACCTTTCAGTATATCATTCAGCTAAAGCTGCTTCCCAAGTCTGTAGTGACTGGACCTTGTTAAGTTCAGCACCATGCAGTTCAAATATATATTGGTGCCATAATTCACATAGATGCTGGAACAAGCTGCCTGGTGCCTTAGATTCTTGTTTCAATCATGGTTTGTTCAGAACAATTCCTCAGTTGCCATCCTGCAGAAGGCTAGTTCTTAGTATTTTTAATGTCCTTCAAGATTTGATTAAAATATTTTCTACCTGTAAAGGACTCCAATCCATTGGGACCCAAACTTAATACATAGGACTTCTGAAGTGTACCACTGAACTCGCATTATTGCTCTTCTCTATGGGAGTGTTTTTCTAGTTACTTCTGACTTCCTTTCCTTCTCCATAAGGGTCTTTTGAGAGCAGCATCTATAGGACATTTTATTTCTGGATATGGTGTGACAGGATTAATGATGTTGACAAGAAGCAACTTGCTTCAGGGTCATAATTAGATCATGATTCCATTCCATAGGTAACTACAAAAGGTAGTTGCTTGCTTTCACCTAAGTCTTGGTAAAATATTAAGTAGAGTAAGATCCTGCTGTATCTGTAATAGGAACCAGTGATATATCCTAATCTTAAGAGAGAAGGATGGCTATATGTATCAGACCACTATATATATATATCTGGGTTAAAGAAAAATAAGGCATAACTAAATCTTTCTTTGAGGTAAAACTGGCCAAGAGCCTGTATTCCCCTTAATTGAGATTCCTCCTTCAGTCTTAGCAATCATAGAATATAATGAACAAGTACAATGCTGACCTGTTCTGGTAAACTTTTATGCTTGAATAGTAAATTTCATACATTAATCCAGGTTCTAGTGTCCAGGTTCCATGTGGACTAGATGTAGTGTTTATATGTTCCTTTGGTCCTTATGTCCTCTAAACTGAGCCATCAACCCATGTTTGGTCTGAGAATAGAGAAATAATAGGAAAACTTAATCTCTTCTCCCATATATTTGGAATAATAATACTGTAATTACACGAAGGTTTCTGTCTCATAACAGTTCACTAAACTTTTTTGACTCCTATAAGGAATCAGTTTTGCAACTTAGAAAATATTGATAGTGACTTGTGGAGGAAGATAGGTAGATTGAAAATTTGGAGATAAAATTGACAGAATGCCTTATGAAGGATACTTAGCTTTTTAAAATAGCATGTATTATGTCAGCCTGAACTTTTAATACTTTTGTGTTTTGTAGTACTTGCACATCATGCAGATTCAGTTTGTTTGGGGAACACAAGAAATTATTTTTAATCGAATTGTAATTTTTGTCAGGTCTGTAAAAGTTTATATTAAATAAGGCAAACGGGATTTTCTATATACCAGTTCATCATTATGTAAAGACAGTTTCTATGAAAATGTATTTTCTATTCAACAAATGAAACAATATTCTGTGTCCTTAAGCAGTTTTTTCTTCTCAGAGTTTTAAAGCATTAGATATTTTGTATATAAACAAGAAAATGAATGTCCAAATGAAACATGGTTCAAATGTTGTTTTCGTCTAAACGACTTGAAAATTTTATTAGGTAGATATATCATAATTGATGCAGAGGTAATGAAGTATTAAGTGGTTCCCCTTACCAAGGGGTAGTGTTTCAATTTACTTGAAGAATGGAATGTAACTATACCTTTAAAAAAGAATCCTCTTTCTTTTTTATTTTGAATGAGTGATTTCTGAGATTTTGGATGTTTGGCTCTGTATGAAAAAAAATTTCACACAAACATGTATGATTTAAAAGAAAAAATATAACAGCTGAGAACTTCACATTTATTTTCACAAGTTGGAATTAAAATTAAGAATACCGTTTTATTGGTGACATTTTGTCATTTTAATACTTGCCAAAAACTTACATTCTACTCTTCCCCACATCTTCCATCCATTATGACTTTTGATTGAGTAGCTGACAGTTGAACAATCTTGGACTACCTCTAGAATTTCAAAGAAAAAAAAATCTGCTTGAATATCCTCTTGTTCTGTAAACAATAACTTCTCAGTTAGCTCTCTTCAGTTTTTCAGCTGAATGCCACTACAGAAAATATCTGAGGATTTTCACTTTTAGTTCTTTTTTATCTTCCGTGAAGATAGTGCAGCTGATACTTCAGAGCTCTTTTCTCCTAGCTTTATAAATAGCAGCATCAGAATTGTTTGGATCATTTACAATGCAGCTCCAAAAGGGCAAGCCAGCCAGTACAGAATGGTGGTCTTTATTTTTCTGCTGATCTTGTATTACAAAACCCAAAATTTGTGTTATTCAGATTCAGATCTGATGTGGTCTGGTTTGAAACCGATTTGTCACATGAGTGACGTTGATTTCCAAGAACAGTTGAGTTGTTCTCCCCCTGACTCCCCTCCCCCCCCCCATATTTGGGAAACTTGAAATACTGCCTTCTATTTGGATTCATCAAATTCTAATGATACAAGAGCTCATGCTCCAGCTTTCTGCACTGTTAAAGTTGTTTTTTTTTTTTTGAGATCTCATTCAGGTTCTTAACTGCCTGTTTTCTTGCTATCTGCCTATCTGCATGTATCTTTAGGCTACTGGAGAACTTTTTCTCTGACAGCTCTTGTTGAAGTTGTTTAATAGTTGCTGAAGTCAGAGCTAGCTTTATTCTGCTGTCAGTTTATTTCTTTAGAAATGAAATCATTCTGCTTAGTACACCCTTTATAGCGTGGATTCAAATATTGCCTTTATGCAGCAGAGTGGTCCAGATAGCTGCGCACATTAGTTGAATATAGTGCCCTGGCTGCAGCTGAGCCAAATTTGAGAGCTTACACTCATGTAGTAGCCATTGGAGTGTCTTTCAGAAAAACTCTGCAAACCTTTAAAACACTTTCTTTTTAAAAAACCCCTTAGATTATTTCTGGCTTCCTGGTAGGATCTTCCTGAATCATAGAATCATTCAGGTTGGAAAAGACGTTTGAGATCATCAAGTCCAACCGTCAACCCTACTCTACCAAGTACACCCCTAAACTACATCTCCAAGCACCACATCGAAACAACCTTTAAATGCGTTAAGGGATGGTGACTCCACCACCTCCCTGGGCAGCCTATTCCAATGCCTGACAACTCTTTCAGCGAAAAATTTTTTCCTAATGTCAAGCCTAAAGCTACCCTAGTGCAGCTTGAGTCCGTTCCCTCTTGTTCTATCATTAATTACCTGTGAGCTTTTAAAATTTTTTTTTTTGAGTATCTGCAAAGTTAATGTGAGAAGAGACATGGACCCATAGTGATCAGTGTTCAAAAGATTCTGATGTTAATTTGATTCAGTGTTACAGCATTAATTTAAAAAGTTTAAGACATAGCAGAAAAAGCTCAAGTAAACTTGTGAACTCTAATGGTGTTCCTGAAGATACTAAATTGTTAATTTCTTATTAATAAGAAATGACAGTAACTTCAGAATATGATTTTTTTTTTTTATGGTTCTAAACAGATTTAAAACATGAGGAAGACCATTTCATGAGAAATTAAATTATTTAAAAAGAGTACAGCGTAAAAGATCTAGAGGGAGATTTGATTTTTAGTATGCAAATTAAAATATGAAACCTGATTTACTCTAACAGATGAAACTCTTAACATATTGTTCAGTTAAATGGGATTGAAGTATGATTTGTAGCTTAAAAATCCTTATTTAAGAAAGAAAGATGTGTAGCATGCAAGCTTGATTCAGAAGTTCTATATAAGAAAATTGAGTCCTATTTGTAGATGAATATTCAGGTACAATCCCAGGATACTTCATGCCCAAATAAATTTTTGGTTTGAATTTGAATTATCACAATTTTTGGATTATTATTATCACTCTGATTTGGATTATTGACTTTGTCTTGAATTCTGGAGTTTTCCTGTTGGAAGGGCTGTTTACGTCAGTGGAATTGGTAATATATGCATCCCATAATATATATTAATAATAAGCGCAGAGCATATATATTTTATTTTGGGATTTAATGAAGATGTGTAATATTATTGTTCTGCTTCATTATCTTTGTTTATTTGATATCTTTGTTGTTGCATTGTGGTGTAAGAAGCACTTGCTGTGTATTTTGTGACCTTTGAAGTAGTACAACTTTTACAGAAAACAGAGATATTCTTACTAATGTTACTGGAATTTTTCAATTTGCAGAAGCAAATAGAAATACAAAATTGTTCCTTTATCAACTGTTATAAAACCCTAGCATTTTATTTAAAAAACAAACAAACAAACAAACCAAAACCAAAAAACCCTTTCATTAATATTGTGTTCCATGCAATAAAGCTCAAAACTGCTCTGGACTGAGGACCTGTGGACAGTGTTTGGAACAGCCTGGGTGTGGATGGTGTAACGATCCCAGTAACACTGGAAAAGGGCAATGTTTGGAAGGTTCAGCAAGAGGCCCCATGAAGCCGGTTGGCATGCACTCTAATGAAATGGTGCTTGATGCCAGTCTTTGTCCAAAAGAGAAGAATTATGAGTGGTCTTTTATCCAGTGTCCAGGTAAGATCTGTTTCCATTCTTTCTTATATATGGAATAAGAGATGATTCTCTTGTTTAAGCACACCAAAATAATATAAAAATAATTATTTTGAGTAATACAAATAACACTTGCATGAGAGATTTGTTTTTCCAGAATGTTTCCTAAATATATAGTTTGCTAGACTGTGTCTACTGAACACAAATGTGCTTCCTGTCATACAGGTTCACATGTGAAATTTAATGCAAATAGTTTAAGCAAAATTGACCTTTATTTGTAAATAAATTTTCACCCATCCTATCGTTCTACTTTTTCAAATCCAACTATATGAATTTGCATCAGCTTTCACTTTCTTCTGGCTTCTGTACCCGTCAAAGTAGAGTGCAGCTGGGGAGGAATTATCTGTGAACAACTGCTGATGGCCAGGAGCAGGGACGTCCTGTGTCCCCGCCGCTCATGCCAAAGGCCAGCTGGCTGCCAGAATGGGGGCTGCCAAATATCTGAGCTGTGCCTCCAGTCTACATTTCAGACATTTTTAAGTAAATAGCATGTATGCCATTGTAATCTTAAAGAGAATCTCTGAAGTCTAAATTTAAGCCATACCAATCTGATTATAATATTTTAATTTTTAAGTGCATTGGAAAAGTAAGCAAGACATCAGGTGCTTTGGGGTCGTGGAGGCTGAGCTGGTACCTCCTCCTGTATGGAAGCAGTCAAATCCTGAAAGCAGTGTGTGAAAGCAGTGGTGTAGGAGTACAGTAAATAGGAAAGCACACTGGGGAGTTTGACAGACCTCCAGTGGTAATTTACCATAAATTATACAGTTTAAAAGACAGGTTGAAATTTTTTTTTACAGTAAATAGTATAATTGTGCTACAGTTGTTTTTCCAGCAAGTGTTTCTACTGCTGATAAATTCGGAAGTCAGAGCTTCTCTAGGATCAAAACTTTTATGGCTACGTGCAGCTATGTTTGCGCTTCTTTTTCAACAGCGTATTCCCTGTGTGTGTGTATGCATATAAATGCGTTTGTTTATGTATTTATATGTAAGTGTGTGTATCACTGTATTATTTAGAAAGCAGAATCTCTGAAGAAAGTGTTACTTTTGTAACTTATTTTAAATACATAGGTAGAGAGTAGATTTTTTTTTAACTTTTAGAATAATGAAGTGAAATATAAAACCAAGTGAACACTGTCAAATGTTCTAAGTTAAAACCAAAAAACTCCAAACTATCAAACAGCATTTCCTGAACAAAGAAGCCTCTAGTAAATTTCTAGAAACAGTAGAATGACATTACATTGTATAGAAACTCCAGTACTGAGTCTGGCTGTTAAAATACGGGTGTGTGGATAAGTGCATTGTTAGACTTTCACTGTAACACTAGTGAAATGGCAATGGATATACATATTGCTTGTCTAAAATTTTTTGAGTTAGAAGTTTTCATCTTTTAATTTGCTTAATATTTACTCTTCATGGATAAAATTCTGTATTCATTGTATATTCTGACCAAGAAGTCACTGAAGTTCTACTTTAGTCAAAAACCTCACTATTTTATGAGTTTAAGAGGCAAATCCTACAGAAGTCATAGAATTAAAATTTCAACTGATGTGAAATTTTGTTCTGATTGGTATAGGCTATAGGCTTTGTTCCTAAGCTTTGATTTTCCATTTCTTAAAATGCTGTCTGTAATGACTTATACTAACACAGTTTAGTATTCTTAGCACAGCAATCATTTGATGTACTTGAAATAAGATGCAATTGATACTAAGTCTGTATAAACCTACTGAACAGTTTGTAGCTTGGACGAAAATAAAAATAAATGGGTTATAACATGTAGTAGAAGATTATGCTGCCACATTGATGAATAGATGGCTAAACCAGTCATGTTCATTCGTGTACACACTTAGTTTTCCTTGTAGTACATATCCATGCTCTTTATAGTGCCTCTGGGCAATTGTGTTTGTGATAAGTGTTTTAAATTCATTCTCATCTTCTGTCTGTTCAGATCTTTAAAACTAATACTCAGCAGGTAGCATTAAAAAAATATTTCTTTTTATGACTGGTCATTTTGGAATTAATAGTCCTCAAAGCAGCTGTCATAGTTTTTCTTCTGATATGAATATATTTTGATGTTTTTAATCAGATTTGTATTTTAACTGAACTATTATTATAACTAAAATGGCAAATATCATATATTTTTAAAAAAAAAAAGAAGAAAAATAAATAATGTTGGCATTTCCTCTCATGACTTGAGAAGTTTAGGTAGAATGCAAGCCCAAGTTTGTCTTTTAAAGCCTAAATTTCTCCCCTGAAAAGCGGTATGAATTGATTCAAACTGGTTTGTTTAAAACTAGATGAAGTACTTTACACTAGATCCAGATTGTAATGCAGACATCCTTTTTATATATTATCCTAGTATTAAGTATTTTCTTAAAACTATAGTTATTAAGAGTTGTCAGCATCAACAACCATTTCAACACAGAGGTCAAAAGCAGATTAGACATAAAATTGCTTATCTCCAGGGCAGCCTCATGGAAGATTCAGCTAAATCATATTTGTACGTGCGAGGAAAATTCCTCTGTTGTGGCCAGTGATTAAAATCACTTAAAGAAAAATATGACATTTTGAAATTTAACTCCTAGTTCTTATTTAAGTGATCATTACAGTGTCTCATTACTTTAATTTTTTTTTTTATTATTTAATACTGATAGCTCTAGTTTGATGCACTCATCTGAATCACAAGTTGTTGAATTGTACAATTCTTCTGGCTTTTCACTTTTCTCAATGAGATAGATATTTTTGGAAAAATCAGCAAATATATAGTATCATTTTAAAATGCTGTGCAATGTCAATTGTAGATTGTATTGGTTTTTACTGTACATGTATATTTTTAATTTGATTTAAAATCTCCTATTTTCTTTTCTTTTCCGTAACAAAATGTTAAGAATTAAGAGCTATCATACATGACCAGATAATATTATGACTTGCAGCAAACTAAAATTCACAATGAAATTTTTGATTAATTAAAGTTGCTTTCATTATACTTTAACACAAAAATTTAAAAAAAAAAATAAAATTAAGCATTAGGAAGAATGGAAAATTTATAAATGAATGACCCACTAATTAGAGAATATCAGAATGAAACATTTTCTCTGCATTATGATACAGTCTTAATTAGGCAATCTAGTAAGATTACTTTAATAGAACACCTGTTTAATGCATTGCTTGTTTTAGTTTTGGTTTATTGGTCTACATTTTTTTTAGCATTCGCTTTAAGTAATTTAATGTGTAAGTCCCATAAACAGAACCCAAAAGGGAGCTCCAATTCATGGTATTTTCATGTAGCTTTTTCTGAGAAAGGCAATGAACTGCAGAATGGCAAACTGCCTGGAGGAAGACAACACAAAGTTGTCTAAAAAATCAAGTATCCTTAGGAAGAATAAAACTTGTAGTATCTAAAGAGATGTAGTCAAGACAGCGAGAAGATTTCCAGTAGTCCAGAAATGTTTGATACTCATTTACAAGATTTTGTAGACATAGTTACAGAAGAAGGAAAAGGTTGTAAACTTGGGAGGTTTAATGGGTTATGAGCCAAGGCTGACAATGGCTGTAAATGTATTAAGTTACTAATACTTAATTCTGTCTAAAACAGCTTTATAAACTTTTAAATCGTGCAGTGAGAATATATATTTATTTTTTTTCCCTAGCCAAGACATCAGTCACTGTGACATTTAGATTAAAAATCCAAATTTTTTAAAACAAGATCTTACTGAGATAGCTGTCCTCTGCTGAGTCTTACACACCCTTTGCCAGTAAAGGATCGGCAGGTTTGACGTAGGCTGACATTTGACAAGGTGCTGTCATTGACAGATTGCTAATCTGCTGAGCGCTATGAGCTCTGAGGTCCCACTCTCTAGAGAGGTCATCCTCAAAACCTCTTGGTCGTTCAGCTGAGTCCTGGCAGCAGGATCAATGATTCTGGCAGAATTCACATTGTGATTTTGCGGCAGTAGTGATCAGTACTTTCTGAGTTTCTACACAACACAGAGCACTGGAGTGGAAGTGTGGTGCGAGGGCAGTAGTTTATAATGTTCTTATTTGACAAAAACAATTTTGTGCTTTTAAGGTCAGGCATAAAAATATATGTCAATAGTTATTTTCACCAATGTTGACTGAGTGAGGAGGGACTAGGGCTGTTTGATGTCATCCTGATGTCCTTAAAACCCCCTTTAGTATGCCAAAGCTAATGTGAGGATCACAACTGTTAAAAATAAGATGATCTTTGGTTAATTTTTTGTAAGTTCTCTCTCCCCAGTAGATCTAAGTTTGGGTGTGAGTTGTTCATGGTCTCCATCACAGTAGCCTTTCCAATGCTTCACGGTGGATTGCATGGTATGGGGGTTTTCATTTGATCTTGGTTGGTGACTTACTGCCTCTTAACATGTTTCTTAAGTGACTGGGCCACATTTTAAAGCTATAAGAGCTGGATTCAGTCACTCACAATGGCAAAAGAGAGTTTCTCACACACCTTAAACTCACGTGTCACCACATAGTCAACTTCTGTGGTCTCTTGCGTGAACTTGTGCCTTGTCACAATGCTGTTTCAAAGAGGCGCTGTATCAAAGTACAAATATATATATGCTGGTCATTAGTGAGGATTAAACTCCTCAGAATTATGTTCTACTGCAGTTTTGTGATCACATAGGAACGATTTTGTTCTCAAGAGCAATTTAGTAATGGCTTTTTAAATGTTATATTCTAGCTTGCCAGTGTAATGGCCACAGCACCTGCATCAACAGTAATGTCTGTGATCAATGTAAAAACTTAACAACAGGAAAACAATGTGAAACGTGCATGCCAGGATATTACGGGGATCCCACAAATGGAGGACAGTGTACAGGTAAGTCATTCTGCTGGGGGGGAAAAAAATTGAAATGACATTTTAGATAATGTGAATTTAACTTTTTAAATGTAACGTGGAACTAACTTTTCTTTAAAGGTTAAATGTTTATTTGATTATACAGATGAGTTGATCAGCTAAACTAAGGATTCAAAATTAGATTAATATTTAAAAGGAAACTTTGCATTCAGAATCATCATTTCGCAGTTGTTTGATCTGGATGCTCTAAGAACCAGATGGTAATTTTAAGATG